CCCCTGAATTTCAGAATTTGGTTCAGTTAAAAAGATGAAGAAATGTTGCACTGAACACCTCCCAGATTGTGTTGTCTCAATTTGAAGACGTGGTTCCATTTTGGATCTTTATTTCTCATTCTTAGATTTTTTTTTTTTTTTTTTGAATGTGGAATTTCTATATTCGTCCCTCTTGTGTGCCCTCCTCCTCATTTTTCTTTGTGCCAAACTAAACTGTGATTTCAATAAATATTTTTATGGTTCATTGTCCCTCCTTAATGTTCTTTTTTTTAACCCTGAGCCAGTGACTATTACCGTAACAGTTAGATACTTGCTGATTGACCTCGTTATAGGAAATATTAGGTGTTACTGCAGCCTTTGAGCTATATTAGCTCACAGCTAACAAGATACTATGTAAAGGCTTAAAGTTTGACCAGGTCTTACTGGTCCAACTGGAGTTCAATAACTTACATTCAGCTTAAGCTAGCTCAACACATATCTCAGCGTCCTAGCTTTAGCATCTTTCTTTGCTATTTTTTTTTACAGACTAACAGCAATCACAACAACCTGTTAGCTGTAAAGTTAACTTTACTTTAAGGGCTTACATTTCACATACGTTCTTCTTTTGGCTTACTTTAAAGCCACATATGTCAAATCCAGGGCCCGTGGGCCAAATGTGGCCCGCCAAGTCATTTTCTGTGGCCCGCGGGAGCTTAAAAAACATTTTTAACTTCAATTAATATAAATCAAATGCAGAAACATTTATTAATACGTTATGAAGGAGTTACATTGATACAGTTACAACCGGCCCGTCAACGGGACCTGTATTGCTGATGTGGCGCCCCCTCCCTGGTAAAAATGAGTTTGACACCCCTGCTTTAGGCGAATTGAGAACTAGCTTTGATTTCTCTATTGACCAGACATTAGCTATTAAATGTATTCAGTCACTTCCGTTTAGATAATTAGGAGCTAGCTTTTCACATTCTGTAACATAAGCTTAGTATTTTTGTCAACCACAAAAGACTTTCAAAAGTCCAAATAGAACATGTCTATTTAGGACATTTACTTGTCTTTCAACTTGTCATTTATCTTTTTAACAAAGCAGTAGTGAAAATGTTTTTTTTTAGAGAAATCTATCCTTCACAGCAAAGTATTTGTGTAACGTTAAATGTCGGTACCACAGAGGAGCAGTTGGCCAGAGGTATTTTTACATAGCTGCCCATCCCTGTCAAATTCTTGACACTTTTTCAGTCAGCATATATTGTCTATGTATAGAGTGTTTTTACACACTGCTGTATAGAATGCTCTGACGTTTTAGTAGCTGCGTGAATCCTAGGTACAGCAGCTCTACCTGCGCTGATCGAGGCTCCGCCGTACGACTCTGCTCTGCATTTGAAAGGCTTCCCGGTGGAATTCCTGCCTGCATTCACACTTTGTCACCTATAAAGTGAGAACGAGCGGTGAATGCCAGCAATGTGCAACCAGAGAGGACGCCAGCCATCCCAGCTATGCACCAAATGCTGCCGTGTTATTGATCCAATAATCAGATTATGTGCAGAGGTATGCCAGTCTGAGCCACTGTCACAACTCAGTGGCCGCCGTGTGTGACCCTCGGTCAGAGAGCGGCCAACAATGTGATTGGCTCTGAGGCGAGGAAACAGGAAGAGTGGTTTCCTGAGAAATTAGACAAGTTTTGCAGGGATTTGGCTCTCCCATGCCGAGTGTCTTAGTGTGTTTGCACAGCGGCATTGTGATGTCACTGAGCCTCAGCCTTTACTTTTCACACTGGGATCTACTTTACAGCCTCTAATCACAGCTACAGTCAAACGATGACACTTGGATAACGCTGCGCTGTTGTCCACCAATAAAAACAGTTGAGAAGAAATTATCTTAAAAAAATAATTTTCTTTTAAAAGACATTTTCTCTGTGCATTTATTCAAGAGTAAACAAATATTGATTTATTGATTGGTTTTAACCAAAGCGCCTCTAAAAACTAAAGACATTTTCTCTGTGCATTTATTCAGAGTAAACAATATTGATTTATTGATTGGTTTTAACAAAAGCGCCTCTAAAAACTCCAGATTCTTTCTACCACTATGATGTTACTGCACTGGGTGGTTAATAATATATTTGCAGTAATATATACCTGAAAATAAAGTTTTATAAATTGTAGTTTTTCATATTTTTTTATACATGTATTGTTGTTTTTATAGTATATGTGTGTTTTCAGATAGCCTTGATCCCGGTGATTGTATTAATAAAGATTTTAATTAATTATATTCTCTGGAAAAAAATTTATTTTATTACACATTAACGTTATTTTATTAGAATATAGCGGATTTGAACGACTACTGCACAATAAAAAACAGCGTTGAACCGTGAACTTAAATACTGAAACAAACAGAGAAATGCTGCCCTCTGTGGGCACAGCTTCTGAATTGCAAACGCCAGCAAAAGACTACCACAACTTCTGACTAAAACTTCGGAAGCGGTGGATGGAAGGTGGATGGAAAACATATTTTTGTTTATTTATTAACGCGATTTTAAATATTAAAAACGTAATTTAAAGTTCATTTAAATCAAACTAATTTCATTGAATTCAAAATCGATGCAGATAAGATATATATATATATATATTCTTTCCAAATAAATTAGTATTCTAAGAATAAGAAGTTCAATTTCGGACTTTTTCACAGTAAGGAAAAAATGTCCAATCGTATTCGAACAATTTTGATTTTTTTTAAAGGTGTAAAAAATGTTCGTACTTTGAACTGTATTTAACTGTAAGTACAAAAGAAAAAGTCGTTTCGAAAAGTTATTTTCAGTTCCTCATTCAGCCGAAACAGATGTTCAGTCAGTGATAATATTAATGATCTGACGAAAACAAAAGTAAACAGACACTACGAGTCATGAGACTATCGGTCGGGGGTTTGACTCAGGATTACTGAGAAATGTGTCGAGTCAATAGAGGGCGTGGGTACGTGACAGCACAACGGTATTTGTATTTTTGGAAACAAACACAAGAGTTTCCCTTTTCAATATCATGTATCACCACGTTCCACTGTTTGGTTCCACAGTGTTATAATGCCTGCCGCATACATCTGCCTTACACGCAGAAGGTTCAGGGTTCGAGCCCCAGAGCAACCACATATGTACTTAATAATGCCTCTCATAGTAGCCTGTGTGAATGGCCAAGTCTCGCGTTGTGGGACAAATAAAGGACTTCATTATTAATTAATTATCATTATATATAATAATGTGGTGGAAAATTAATGACGAAAAAATAGAAAGGCTTAAGGTCAGATTCTATATTTTTTGATTAATTGAAGCCAGAAATTAAAAAAAATTCAGAATGCAGAAAAAAAAAATCAAAAATCGAATTATATTTTAAATACTTTGCGGAATTCTTAGAAAGAACATCTGTATTTAATGTAAATTCTCTCTTTAAAGTTTAAAATCACAATGTATTGAACCATTTTTTAATCTTTTTTGTTCCGTAGATCAGCATTGGAATTCTGACACTGTGCTATTTTGAGAGACCTGCAAAGTAGTGATTCATTTCTTTGTAATCTGTTGGAAAATGTTTATTGATGAGAAATTGTCTCAGTCCTCCCTTCTCCTCCACAGCAGAGCTTCTCAGGCCACAGTATTTATTTACAGTTTCTTTAATCAGTGTAGGAATCGTAACCTTTTTTAACGTTTTTCCATCCTTGTTAAATGTTGTGAATTGTACCACAGTCATCCCCACAGTGGTGGTAAAAAAAGCAGTAAAAAGGTGTTTTGTTTTTAAACTCACCATTACTGTGTTTCTAATCCTTTGACATGTCCCACATTTCAAACGGCGGCTGGATCATTTCCAGAGACGAAGTCTGACACCGATGACCAACCTGAAGACAGACAACGGATGAAATATCAGGTGAAAAGATAGTGAATAAGTGACAGTTATAGAGTGAAACAAATATCCTAAAGAAAATTTGCATTTGATATCCATAAAAACCAGGCAACCGCTACCAAAAACCATCAACCTTTGACCTTTTTTATTGGCCTATCATAAGGGTTCCACAGGTTGACATGTGTCCTGTTGCATTCAAACCACAGTAATAGTTAATTTAGTTTTGTTTAGAATCTTGTTTTTTTTTAAATATTATTCGTGTTCATTGTTTTCTCACTGTGCATTTATTATTATATATTGTGATATTTTAGTATTTCTTTTTAAATTTCATCAATTTTTGTATTAAAGTTATTTTTACATTTCATTATTATTATTGTTATTATAAACACACCACTGTCATCTAATTTCTAATGATGGATATTTGGGTCTGAAATATCACTCTAGTAAATATATTTTTATATATTAGTGCCTACATTTTTTCCCCATTATTTGTGGAGTCATCTTTTTTTTTTTTTTTCTACCACACACACTTACAATCACGCATGTAAGCGTCATCCACTGGTTCTGCTGTCTCATTTCTTTTTGACTAGGTCATGGCCCGACCTTGTCAGCTGACTGTAGTAAAAGGTATAAAGTCCAGTGTTGGGCAGTGATACAGTATAACCAAGTAAGATAGAACTCTTGTTCATTTAGTTAGCATTTTGCTAACACTTCTAGTCAATTTTTTAATTTCTTTTTTAACCTGGGTAACAGTGGTTGTTGCGGCTAAGCTAAGCTAAGCTAAAATAGCAGGAGTCTAAAGCCACGGCAATTGGCCAAAAAAGAAATGAACTGCTCTCTAAACTTCTTGACAGCAAAATAATCTCCAGGGAAAAAATAAAATAAAACCTCAGCGTCCTGGACTCAACACAGAAATATGAAGCTGGTAGAAAAACATCGGCGCTGTTAGCAGTGAAGCCTCAGCTGTGAAGTCAACAGAGGTTAATTCACACCTGGGTCTTTGACACCAGTAAATAATCCTAGGATTTGCAGTCTATTGATGTAGGTCATCGATATATTGTTGTCGATCATGTCTTCGATATATGTTTTTGAGTTGTTGTAATGATGTTGGGCAATATTTGTCAGAATAGAAAAAAAAACTCGATTTACAAAACTCAATGACTTTTGAAAACTTCAGGCTCAGTTTTCACTCTGACCCTGTCCTCTGGACTGAGGTCAGGTCATAATAAAACACCTTGTGATGACAGGTTGATTATTTTAAGTGTAAACCTGCGAAGACAACTCACTGCTTTATTGCGTCATGTTTTTCTGCTCAGTCGTTGTTCTCTCTTTCTCTTTTTACTTCTACCACAACAACATGCGCCTCACAGTTCCTGGCAGTCAGACGTGAGGGGAATATTCTCAAAACCTAACAGTCGGGATGTAAACAGGATGTGTGCACTGAAACGGAACTGAAGGTACTTTTATAACGCATGAATCTGATAGAAAGACATCATTAAAAATATAGGGCCACCTACACTTCTGGAAACTCAAGGAAAAAAAACAAACAAAAACGTAACGGAAACTTAAACGTGCGATACATATTTGTATATGTATTTATACACATACGTCTATAAGCATATATTCATACATAGATATACATATATAAATGTGTTTATATGAATATGTTTTTATACATTTACACACTCATATATACATCTGTATTTTGAATACATATTAGTATAGTATAGAATAGCATATACGCAGTAACAATTAAAGGAAGTTTGCAATCAATGAAAGATCTCAAATTAACTCTTCTTTATTTTACAACTTATTATCAACTACATGGGGGCGTTTTCCCACTGTGGTTCAAAAATTCAAGAGTTTACCAGAAAACTGGTGTCATGTAAACTTCTCAGAGCACATGACTCTGCTGCTGACACTCTAACTTTTTCACTCGGACTTTACGAGGCCCAGCACTTCCAGCCACCTGACTGGACGTACTGTCAGTCATAACCACAGACGGATATTTAAGAGCAGCTTCTTTGCCACAGACCTACTGTACCTCGACTACATCAAGGCCGCTGTAGTTCAAACCTCACCACACTCATCAGCAGAAGAGCAGGTAAGACGACCGGCACGCACACGCACACGCAAACACTACGACAACATCGAAACACACACTTCCTGTCAGACAGCTGCACTGTCACAAATGAGAAAGAGTGGTTTCAGGAGACAGATTCATGACAGACATGACCGACTCTTCAAGACATGGAAATAACCACAGGGTGGCGTCTACCTCGGTGCCACAACAAAGCTCTTGTAAGACGAGTTGAGAGTCTTAAAGTCTGTGTGTTTGTGTGTCAGTCAGGATGAGGCTGCTGTTGGTCGCTGCTGCTGTTCTGGCTGTGGCCAGCTGTGCCAGCATCTCCCTGGAAGACCTGGAGTTCCATGCCTGGAAGCTCAAGTTTGGTAAGAAGAAATACAGTCTTGTGGTATTTTATCTAAATGCCATTTATTATCTAGTGTGTGTCTCCAGTTTTTGGTCTGTGTCTTCTAACATTTTGTTTTTCAAAGATTTTTTTGTCTTCTAACATTTTGTTTTTCAAAGAATTTTTTTTCCCATTATTTTATTCATTTAGAGTTACCAGAATGGAAAGTGAAACTTGTTGGCTTAACTCTTCTAGTTTGAGTAATAGTTGAGTGTCAAATTAAATGTGTTTAAATGTTAAACTGCCTCAAGGCTCAGTTAATGTTGACTCTTTGTATCAGTGACACTGTACAAATAAAGCTGAGATTTCAGGAAATGCTAAAACTACTGTACATGTACAGCTTTGTGATTGTGAGCTAGTGGCTAATTTGCTAACCTCTAGACATAGATGACAGTATTTAGCCATGAGCTGCTAACTGCTTAATGCAAACTTCGGCTAGCAACGCTGATCACTTGTTTTCATCCCAAGCTAGTATGAATTAGAAGGACTGGTGTATTAACGTGTTTAGTATTAGTAGGTATTATATTTTGCTGATAACAAGCTGTGTTTTATGTATGAATTTGCTCTGGGTTTTTTTTTTACACTCTTACAATAATGTTTGACTATTTCACTGGTATTTTTTAGCAAGTATCCACTAATGCTAACTATGCTACCAGTTTAAGCTATAGCTCCAGAAGCTCAAATATTAGTTAGCAAAAGTGTTTGGTTTCGATGCTAACTAAATGTGAACTTTGACAGGAAGGTCCTACGCCTCTCCTGTGGAGGAGGCTCAGCGCAAGCTAATATGGCTCAACAACCGCAAACTGGTGCTAGTACACAATATGATGGCTGACCAGGGCATTAAAACATATCGACTTGGCATGACCTACTTTGCTGATTGCTCTGGAAACAAACAAACAAACAAACAAAAAAAAAACCTGTATGTTTAACCATCCAAGGTAGCTTTTTTTTTTCAAGAGTTTTGAAGAAATATTGTCTCTTTTCCTGTAGGAGAATGAGGAGTATAAACACCTGATCTCTAGGGGCTGCCTGGGCATCTTCAACTCCTCCATAACTCACAGAGGTTCTTCCTTCCTCCGCCTTGCTGAACCCATTGATTTGCCTGTGTCCGTTGACTGGAGGGACAAGGGATACGTCACTGATGTCAAAGACCAGAAACAGTGTGGCTCCTGCTGGGCTTTCAGCACAGTATGTAATACGGCTTACATTTGCACATTTGTTTTCGAATTTTCTCAGTGCAAATTCATATATTCCTCCTCCAGACTGGCTCACTGGAGGGCCAGAACTTCAGGAAGACTGGGAAGCTGGTGTCCCTGAGTGAGCAGCAGCTGGTTGACTGCTCTGGAGATTATGGTAATTATGGCTGCGGTGGTGGCCTGATGGACAATGCCTTCAAGTACATTAAAGAAAATGGAGGCATTGACACAGAGGAGTCCTATCCGTATGAGGGCGAGGTAATGTGAAACACTGTGTAACAAAAATAAACTACAACCTTTACTGTTACGGCGTAACTAATCATATTTAACTACACACAGTCTAGAACAGGTTATATGGACCTTAATATACTTTAAACAAGATACAATACTGACATCTTGTGGCAAAATGTGTTAAACGCTTCAAATATAGGAATCAAACGACTCAACCATAAACCCACGTAGTCACAAATTATCGGACAGAATATTTAAAATAAACATAACCACACAGTAAAGAGTGAAATCGTTGTCCCTCCATCAGGATGGAGATTGTCGATACAACCCTGCCAACATTGGTGCCACATGCACAGGCTACGTCGACGTCAAAGAAGGCGACGAGGACGCCCTGCAGGAGGCCGTGGCCACAATCGGACCCGTGTCTGTGGCCATCGATGCTTCTCACGTGTCATTCCAGCTGTACGAGTCAGGTAAACTGTTTTAAAATTTATTTAAAAAAACATTTGAAAAAATGTGTCTAGAAAAAGACAAAAAAGTAAAAAAGTTTTTTACTGCCCTGTGTGATCTGCGTGTTTACATTTCCAGGAATCTACAATGAACCTGAATGCAGCAGCTCAGAGCTGGACCATGGCGTCCTGGCTGTGGGTTACGACAGTGAAGGCGGACACGACTTCTGGCTGGTCAAGAACAGGTTAGCGTTAGCCAAAATGGCATCATAGTTTCTACCGTTGATATACCGTTGTATAACTTTACGTATAATATGTATAATAGGCGAAGTTACACCATTGCTATTTCTAACATTTTTAACAAAGAGGCATCTTGTGACGGTTAGGACCAAGTTTGTACACATGATTTGTAAAACATTTAATGTTAAATAAGTGGTTTAATTGACCGTTGAATAAAATGCCAAACCTGTCCCCTAAGAAGGCTAAGTAGCCATGTAGCAAATTAGCCAACATTTACCAGACTTAAAAAATAAAAAAATTCACCTAAAAATGGTTAGAATCAGCGTCAACAACATCATGAAGTGTGTTACTTAAAACATAAATAAGTGAAAAAAGCTAAAAAATAAAAAAGTTGCCACAATTCTAGCAAAAATAGCTAGATTTGTACTGATTTTAAATTTCATATTTAAATGTGAATATTGAGAAGGAAAAAAAAAAGAATTATGCCGAGTCAATGAGTGGAGTTTAGAAGATAACACTAAAAAAGACACCTTACAGGGTTAGTCAATTCAAATGTGTAAGCTCTGAGGTATTTCTGTGCTAATTCTGAATATAATTTATTTTTTAAGCATTTTCTAGCTAAAATATTTAAATAGCTAGCCAAAAAAGCCACATTTTAAAAAAACGGTAAAAACTGTGTTTCTACAGCTGGGGTCTAGAATGGGGAGATAAGGGCTACATCAAGATGACCAGGAACAGAAACAACCAGTGTGGTATTGCCACGGCTGCCAGCTACCCTCTGGTCTGAGAAGGTAAAGGAGAAAACCTTGTTTTTTTATCTGTCTTATACATACAACGGTTCATTTGCTCAATAAAATGTTTGTTATAATTTCAGGACTGGAGTTAAAATGTTTGTTATAATTTCAGGACTGAAGTGTTTTTACAAAGAAGAAGAAAAGTGAATTATAATTGTACTGTATTTTTTTGCTTCTTTTTTTCCCCTAGAAACATCTGTATTATCAAGCAGAAAGTGCTGTTGTTCTCCTGTGAACATTAGCAGTGACGGACATGAATGTATCTTTGCCTGCTGCACTTTCAATAAAAAACCCCCAAAACTCTTTACCTGCAAAATATATTAACATATATTAAAACATATTAAAACATAAAAACAATTCCCAATCTTTGTTGTTTCTGCTTTTCACTACACTCATTATATATTATACATAATTATGGTAATTTATTACCAGTACCTGTTAAACCACTAAACTCTAATGCCCACAGCTCTAATTACGAGACTTTGCGGCTTCACATCATTATAAAGGGAACATAATAAAAAGTTCAATCTTTTTGTTCTTACATAAAGCCTAACACATCTTCTTACAGTAATTCTGGTAACTACATCTCCAGAGACAAACACGCCAGGTAGATGTAAATAAAACTGGTTTTAAAGGTGGTTTTCTTCACTACATTTTCTTATAACTGTAGAAATATTGGATAACTAGGTTGAGAACTGTAGAAATATTGGATAACTAGGTTTAGCCAAAACAAACAAACAAAAAAACAAACATGCAAGAGCTTGGTTTTTTTTTTTGTGCTAACCTTTGACTTTTTCAACCTGTGGTTTTAACGGCTACCCAAAACTGATCGTTTTTAATTTATTAACTAGATTATAGGCTTTAATGGCATGGACTTTTACTGCTATTTTGAAACCGATTTTACATTTGTTTTATTTTGGCAACAATTAATACATCTTTACAATATCCTAATTTTATCTTTTGTGAAAACCTAAAACAACTCTTCATTTTAACATTTTTATTTTTAATATATATTTTTTTCCTTTCTAAACATCTTTGTTTTCTGGCATAGCTTGCCGTTCTCCTTGGGTTGAGCTGCTTGAGCTATTTACTTGCTTTAAGAAAAAATGCTGACTCAATTTCCAATTTGAGTATAATTACAACATAATCTACAACTATGAACTATATTAGTAATATTGCTAGCCAACCTTTAGACATTTTACTAATGATTCGCCCAGAATACTAAAAAACTACTAAGAGCACTGCAAACATTAATGCAGTAAATTGTACATAAATGCCAATTAGCATTAATGCAGTAAATTGTACATAAATGCTAATTAGCATTTATTTATGTACAAATTGGCTAAAATAAAAGATGCTAGCTGTCTGGCTTTCTTTTTGGTGTTTCTTCCTATCATCTGTTTACTTATTATTCCTGACAATAATTATTTGTCTACATTTGACCTAGTTTAAGAATAAAACAAAGCTTAATATGCATTACTCTTTACTTCTCAAAGCCTACTGATACATAAAGGCTTTGATGCTTAAATTTAGGTTTAAAAAGATTGATGTTCAGACTCTGATTCTGTCTTTGACTCTCAGTGGCCTTCGGCGTCTAAACATGAAAGCGGTTTACTAAGACGGTCTCAAGTAGAGAATTGATTTGGAGAAGAATTATCATCTATTTCTGGTGCTTTCTGTCGTCTTTGAGCTTTTGTTGAACTGGATGATGTTTTTATCTTCCCGGATACTGTTGTACTTTGTTGAGCACTCTGCGGTTTGTAAAAGCTTATCTCATATCCATTCTCCTTATGCAGGTAAGGATACAGTCAAAAATGGAATAAAAGTCAAAGGAAATCTGTCTGAAATATGAAGATATGTATTGGAAAACAGTGGCAGAAGCAGGGAACGTCTGAAATCATACACGTCTGCGGTTGAAAGCCCTGTCTAATGTGGTAAATATGAACTGTAGAGAAGCATATCTGCCATATGTATTTTGATCTGTATTACTGTCAATATATTTTACAGACTGTCTTTGGCTTTCAAGAACATTCCTGCATCGCATCTTCCCATCCTGATACCTGATCCACACACTCAGGGATTATCGCTTTCCACATAACTGTCATAATGCACCACACCACAGAGAAGGAACTGAACTGATTTTACAGAAGACTTAAACACAATTCAATAATAAAAAATATATATTATATATTAACTGTTATTACTTCAATCGTTTTTAGCTACTTTAGGCTAAATTGTAATCTAAAAAAGGCTATGTTTTCTAGTTTTCTCTTTTTGGAGATCTAGTAAATATTGAATACATATACTTAAAAATATATAAATATCTTGTCATTAATATATATATTATTAAGGTTAAGCATGGGGCTACAAGGTGAGAGAGTGAGTTTCGTGTTTGCCAGCCCTGATCCAGATTGTGTGTGTGTGTGTGTTGGGGGAAGGGGGGGGGGGTTCTTTAGTCTCCCCTCGACCCCCACCCATGTGCAGTATGCTGATTTAAATGTCACTCACATAAAATTACATTTGAGAAAGTGAGTCCTAATTATATATATGTATATATATTTATATATAGGAAAATGCTCCTTTTATATTGATTTCTTCATTTTAATCTTATCCTTACGTCAGTCATAAATGAATGTATATAACTAAAGATTAATTTCGTCATCTGTCTACTGTGTACAACTTTAATTCAAAGCTGTCATTTCAAAGCCCCAGATGAAACAAGCTCAGTGCGTTTCCCCAGCGACAAAAACACACTGGCTGTGTTTCTCATCTCAGTACAACTAGTGTTTCGGGTTTTGCGAGCTTTGCCTCTCCCAAAAGTTTCTCTTTTTTTTTCTAAAGAGTGACATCTGTGATATTTCACGGAACGAAGAAAAACACAGTTTCTGGGGGGAAAAAAAGGATTAAATCCGCTTGTGTGAAGCAGAAAGAACTACAAAGATGGAACTGCAAAGTGGAGACAAAGAGACATTATCATGTTAATTAAAATGAAATGATCTTTTGTCAAACACGCCATGCAATATTTGTCATTTTGGGAAAACCTCAGCCGGCATTTGAATATAGAACCAGTCAAGGTGCAACGTCGGCTGTAACAACATGCTATGTAAAACCCTTAAGTCAAAGACAAAAGAAAGACTATGGTGTGGAAATTGGTTTTGCAAAAGCCTCCTCAAACAGGAGAAGCCACATTGTTTGTACAAAAGGATATTATCAGTAATCAATTCAAATCCATCCCAGTGAAGCCAATTAGGAGCATTTTAATTAGTTCTTTTGAATTCATGGCATAACTGTGGTTTGGGAAAGATGTTCAAATTGGCTTCCAGTGGAGAAGGACAAGTGAAAAACTCAGAGTGGTTTTTATTAGGTGTGGCAGCTGCAGAAGCTCAGAGAAGAGTCATGGGATTACAGCATTTTTAATATTTTGTCGGTTAAAAGGAAAGAAACCAAAGGTATCCTTCGACAAAACTCATTTTTTGAACTGACATTTGCAAGCGTAGCTGCAAGCTGGTGCCTGACTCCGACAACTGAACATTTACTCCTGCCTTTTTTTTTCTCGGATACTCCTCTATTCTGCCACTAGATGGCAGCACGTGTCTTCTAATGATAATATTTTTGGTCTAGCGATAGTCATGCAAAGCCATAGGAGAGTCATGGACATGATGAACACATTCATACAGCACGTCCACACGGGTTCTACAACCTTTAATATCAAAAGAAACATGTTTGTCTTTCATGTAAATTTACTACAGTATAGTGTAGTTTATTGTCATTCAATCTAAGGAAACTAACAAGGTGCAGATTTCCAGATGCAGGTATTGATTTGGCACAAAAATGACTTAAATATTTATGATAATTTACAGACACCAATATTGTGTTTTCTAAGATCCTGGATCATTTTATTGCACTTTCCCCTGGGCAGTTCCAGCCACAGCTGGTGAATAAATGACTACAACTCTATGGCTGCGGTGTGGATATTGGATTGAACTATAAATACAATTTATTTTCAGTTCTGGAAAGGTACATTTCATATAAAAGAGTTTAAACACAGTTAATTGTTTCTCTGCCACAATGATGCTGTGATTTTGCTGTTGGCAAGCAAGCGCTGCAGCTTTTCTACGTAGGGACAAATGCAATACTGTGGAATTTGAAACGCACAAGCAAGCGCTGCAGCTTTTCTACGTATGGACAAATGCAATGCTGTGCCGCATGTGGAATTTGAAACGTGGCTTATGAAAAGTATACAAATTTGATATTTGTTTTTTCTATTTATATATATATATTTATTTTATTTATTTTAAAAATGCCTTATCCAACTGTAACTTAAAGTAGGTGAAAGCCAGTCAGTCAGGCTGAGGCTATAGTACAGATGATGCAGGATGAAATTATAATTAGATTATTTCACATAGCAACCAGAAATTGTATTATTATTTTTATTATTATTATTAGAACTCTTTGGAGCGAGCAAGAAATGGATCACAGACCTCTGATCCATCCACACACACACACCCAGGAGGACTGCATTTCTCTGCATCAGTAAACCCAGTCCAGTCTAACAATCCACTCCCTAAATGCTGAATGTTTGCCTAATCAACAGTGTCAGCGCACAGTTTCAGTGTATTGTCTGGTGGGCTCGTACGGAGGAACGCATCAGTCAGCTCTCAACATGTCACCCATCATAACTAACAAACAGTCTCTCCTGTGGGGATCCAGGCGGCGGCCATGTTTCTGCGCCTCTCTCCCTTATCAATCTATTATCCCTCTCTCTGTCTCCTGGCATGGCATGTTTGTGAGTGTGTGTNGGGGGGGGGGTGTGTGCAAATGGAATGTCAACTGGTTTGTCATGGTAATGGAGAAATGTGTGATTGTGACAGACAGACACCCAGTGATGATGCGCACACACACACACGCACACGCACGCACACACTCACGGCTGTAATTACTTGATTAAAAACTAAACATTGGGGTCAGGCCTTAATATCTGCGTTGTTATCTTCCTTGTATGAAATGATAATTCTAGAGTGTTAGCCTAGTGTTGTAGGAAATTAGACACCGAGTAACTGAAGCTGGACTTTAATTAAACCATCACCCTGTAAAAAGTGAGGAAACATAAAAAAAGTCAAGATTGCCAAGAAGAAAATAACCTAGCATAGCAAGCAAAGAATAAGCCAAAAAAGGTACAAACTAGCAGAGGAATAGCCATTATATGGTCAAGATGACCTAAACAAAAACGTAAAACTGAATAAACAAACAATATTTGCCAAAAGCTTAGAAAATTAGTAGGAAATAAAAGAGATTTTTAAAAAAGCTAAAAGCTAAGCTGTTGCTGTATTAGCTGAGAAATCACATAATTAGCCAAA